CCCGGGCCCCGCGCGCCCCCGCAGCCCGCGCGCTCTCGCGCCCTCCGTCTGTTTTGTTTTTTTCCCCCCTCTTCCTTTCATTCTCACCCTCCAAATGAGATCAAGGGCTGGAAGTTCCACCCGGTACAGCCCCCGGCTCTGATGCAAAAGAGCTTTCTCCCGCAGCTCCGGGAAGGCATTTTAACTATTCGGTGGCTTAGAGCTTCCCGCCCCACGCGGGGCGGAAAGCGCGGCCACCCGGGCGGCGGCAGCGGTCTGCGGGGGAACAGGGAGGCGCGGCGTTCCGGGCCCGGCTCTGCTGGCTCCGAGCCTTGGGGAAGAGCGGGCGCGACAGGTCGCCTCGCGCGCCCCGCTGCCCGCGCCTGGAGTCCGACCGCCCGGGTGAGTTTGCTCTTCCTCCGCCCTTCCCGTCGCCTTAGGTGACCCGTTTACCTTGCAAACTTAGACACGACGAAAACAGGCGAGCTTTTGGTGCAGTAAGGGCTTGGAGATGCGCTTCGGATCCGGTGAGAGAGACGACACATCAGAGTCCGGGGCCGAGAGGCTGTGTTGAGTAGCGTTAAGGGGATCCTGAATTTGTATTTTTGTCCAGTGCACGTGTATCTTTCTCCATAGAAGCTACCACTTGGGGATTGATTTTTGGCTAGCAGGAGGCAGCAAGCTAAGATAACTCGAAGTAAGAAAGTTTTCAAAGCTGACGATGAAAAGACTTTATAAGAACGACTGTCAAAACAGCTCGGTGAGATTTGTTGTAATATTACGTCCTCTGAGTCTTTTTATACGACTTGGGTTCTCCTCGACAAATGATAGGAGCTTATCATAGTTTCTGGAAAAAGAGGGCAAGGCTGCAGATAGCTGTGGGCAAAGCTTTATGTTAGTTGGTGTGGATGAATTTAAATGGACATTGGAAATTTTGTGTGGGGCAAGAGCTAGCGATTAAAATGGTCGCTGATCTTAAATTGACATTTAACCCTTTGTTTCAGCAGCTAAAAGTACTGTTATTTATGTGACTCCATAGCAAGTGGAATCGTTGACCTTCCTGGCTAAACAATGGTTAATTTATTTTGAAGTTTAGCCAAGGGAGAGCTGTAGGTTTTTCTGTCCTTGATCTGGCTGCAGTGTAAACAACTCCACTGTTGTGAGTGGTGACCTAGAGATGGTCAGAGGGGAGGATGGCTTGAACGGCGGGCAGGCAGCTCTCCGGTGCCTTGTACTGCAGGTCGCTTGTTTAAAAAGAGACCTTGACAGGTTGGAAGATATCTCCTCATCAAGGAAAACTGCTCTAGAGAACCTCAGCATTTGCAAAACGAACTCCCTATAGATGCTTTTCCTAATTCAAAACAAATTGTATTCTAGAAAGATTCAATTACTGTAATGCTGTTCTTTGGAAATAATTTGTCCTTCTCTGCGTGTATTTTAATAGAATTAAAGCACCAAGGTAGTTCAGAGATTTTAATAGAATTTTACTTAGCAGAAGGATGGTGACACTGAACATGCTTTGTCTCCATAGTTAACTAATTCCACCTCTCCGTTTTGGGGAGAGGGTCCCTGGTAAATCTCAGTTCTCTATTTGTTAAGTTTATTTTCCAAAGCCAAATCTCTCTTGAGATGAAGAGGACTGTAAAGAAGAGGTGTTAATCAGACATTACCTGTAGTGTTTCTGAGAGATGGATATGTGAACACGTCAATGCATTTTATTTGAAAGAACAGAGAATTCACCTTCGCAAATTGAAGCACATCATGGAGAAGCTCTATTGTTGCTTTGAAGAGGACACAGGCCAGACATGCTTGACAATGCACAGGGAATAAATGTGGAGAGAAAAAATGAAACCAAATCCTTGTGTTTACTGCACATTCATATGCTGATTTTTATTTTTAAATAGGAACTGAATGAAAACTCATTAGCCTGTGGTATCATGGATTGTTAAGTTAGGCTGTGAGCCACTTGTCTGTGCAATCCCATGTTTTTATTCATAGATAAATGAGGAAGTATTCTGAAAAGAGTGACATGAAAGTATTAACGTAGCTGGAGAGTTTAAGGACAGATCAAAGGAACTAAACACTGAGACTGATCCCAGCACACTTTGGTTCCCAGTAAGGCTGAAAGAATAGTGATGCTAAGTGGCCAATTCCATGTCCTTTAGCTTTTGTGATTCTGTTTTCTTACTGGCATAAGACGGGGCATTACATGAAACCCGTAGCTAAGAGGTGTTCCTAAGGGTTAGTGTCATTCATTCTGGGTACTTTCTTCTCATTCAGAGCGACTTCAACCACTCCAGGAAGGCATGTTGAACAAGATAAACTGGAGTGAAGCCCAGCTCAGAGCCATGTCCCCAGATGGGATGTAGGGATAATGGCGCCTCCTCAGGTGAGGAGTGGATGGAATAATGGGTGTAGAATGCTAAGTGCACTGTTGGCACAGTGTGAGCAGTCATAAAGAGTGATTATAACAAGAGCTAGAAGTATGTTAACTTGCTACCACCCTCAGGGGACTGCAAAGGAGCTGATGCATAATTGCCCCTTGAGTTGCGTATTTGAGTAAGTGTATCGTCCCTTATCAGGTAGTAGTCGGTGTAGGAGCTTGAAGCTGACACTGTCACGCTTGCCTTTCCCCCACCATGGACAGGCCTCTGACTTACCTAGGCGGAAGAGGCCACCTGTGGTTCTTTTTGGCGATAATGGTGAGGTAGATGGTAGAGGGAGGGAGAAGGTGGCCAACTGAAATTTTGAAATAGATTTTAAACATTTTTTAACTACCCTTTGCTAATATTTTTTGAAGTACAGTCCTGATAATGTGATAGTAATTCCTGGAGTTAGACAAGGTGGAGAATAACCTTCATGATTTAGAAACAGAGTACAGTGTTTGGGCTTTGGGAAGGATGCAGCAGTGCCATTCGTTAAGCTTTTCAGTGTCTCATGTCCAGGGCATCCGAAGCCAGAGAAACAGCCTTGACCCTTTTCCTTGCAGAATTCATGTCTGCTGGTACTTAGTAGGTAAACCTGTAATTAAACCTTTGTTCAGTTGTACAGGAAAAAATGTCAAGGTCTATGTGTGTAAACTCAAAAATTCATACTGAAACTTAGTCCGCAAAATCATGCCAATAGTGTCTGGAGGCAGGCCCTTTGGTCACAAGTTAGGTTCACAACCAGTTTGTAAGTGTGGGCCTCATAATTGTCTTAATGGCTTTATGAGAAGAAGAGAGACCCAACTTAGCGACGGCGCTCTATCTTGCCCAGCGATGCCCTACGTCTCCACGGAACTAACTCTACAGAGTGTTCCTAGGAACACATCCCTCACTAGGAGTTGACCGGCAGATACTGGCATGGTGCTCCAGAATTCACAGCCTCCAGAAGTGTGGGATAAATAAATGTCTGTTCTTTATAAATCATCGGATCTGTAGTATTCAGTTTTAGCAGCTGCAAATGGACAAAGGTAGAAACAGAATTTGACTTGCAAAAAGAAGGAGGTCAGGAATGCTTGCTTAAGGAAATGAAGTGAAGGAAGAACATTTAATGTAGAGTGAAGCCGTGAGTCCTTTGTGTGTGTGTGTGTGTGTGTGTGTGCGCGCGCGCGCACACGCACGCACTTGTGTTCAGGGGAAAACAGTAGAGAGGACTGGTGTCTTTGAAGAAGGAAAGAATGCTGTGTCACTGAGGCTGAAGCGGTAGGCCTAAAACGTGAGGTGTATTTTTCTTTTCTGTAAAGCTTACAGTATAAGTAGAACCCTTGTTTTGTGTAAATATCTTACCTTAGGCTTTTTTTCCCCAGACAATTTAATTATAAGAAGGAAATTGCACTCTTATTTTAGCTGATCAGAATCTAAACTGATATTTATCATAATTGATTAATTTGTCAGTACTTCTCATGAATTGTCTGACTTTAAAATCATATGGGGCTGGGGGTGTAGCTCAGTAGTAGAGCTAATAAGAAAGGCTTTTTAATAAGAAGTGAGTACTGAACCTTGGTGCTTAGCATGTGCACAACCCTGGGCTAGCACCACACCACAACAAACCGACAAACAAAAATTGTGGACTACTGTAATTTTCTTTTTAAAATCTGGTAGATTTTTGTTTGAAATTCATGTTATATATATTTCCAGCTCTCATATTGTATTTGTCTCACACATATATATACATACACTGAGTTTGAGTCTACAGCGTTGTCAGAGCTGATTCTCTTCATATTTCTTGTGGGAGGGAAATGCTCTTCTCTGTGTGGGAAACCCTGACCCAGTCTTCTGATGTTTGACACCTGTACTGCAGAGCAGTGGCAGGACGCAGCCTTCTCATTGGTGCTTTGCTCTTTCAAGGTCTGTGAGGGACTTGGTGTATGATCCTCTTTCCCATATGCATGCTTTTACTTTTTGTTTTTCTTTCCTATTAGCAACCCTTTCCAGGGTGCCAGTTATTGGGGAGCCTTGCAGTGAATCCCCAAGCTCCTGGCAAGTGGTATGGCACACAGTGGGAAGAAAGAGCAAGAGACAAAATACTAAGCAGGCAGGGATCTGGGATGACCAGTTGTTCTCAGGGAACAAAAGGCCACAAGGCAGCCAGAGCTATGGTGTTTATTGATTACATGTGAGTCCAGGACAAGGCTGAAGGCAGTAGGTGTTTCTGGGAACAGTAATGGCAGCTAGGGTGGGCGAGTAAGAAGAACAAAGCATTCTTGCAAGGACAAGGACAAGGAAAGGATGAGACAGGGGCAGTGAGGAACCTGTAGTTTCCCCCAGATGCCTCATCACCTCCAGCAGGTCTTATCTTGCTCTGTGAGCACCACAGCAGTCATTAGCCCTAGGACTTCCAGCTGTGACTGGAAAAGAGTAAACAGGAAATTTCCAGTCTGGCTCAAGAGCAGGACAAGAACAAGCTTTTGAAGTCCCCTAGACACCATTTGTAATTCGTCATCCCCAACAGTTTCTTTTTTGTTCTTTTTCTAGAGATTTACCTGATCGTTCTTCATTCTTCATACCTGTATTTTCACCTCACACCCAGGGCCTAAAGGGTTGTTGCCCTGATTTGGTTAGTCTTCGATGGTCTGGTTTGTGACCTTCTTGTTCCTCATGGTGTCATTGTGGATGCCGGGCAGACACAACCTTTCATGGTTCTGCTAAGGCATTCCAGGGCATCTTGGTGTATTGAATGCTTGAATCTCTTTCTTCTATTTCTCATATGAGGTTGCAGATAAGGGAAACTTCCTGAGCTTCTTTAGGCAGAGCAGAACTTAGTGTGGGAGTGAGGTGCTTTCAAGAAGATTGGAAGGAAAGGTGGCCCCTTAGAGGAGGGGAGAGGATTTTGGCTGAGCCCTGTGTGGTGACTCCCAGGCAGTTTGGCTGAATTGGCTCCAGGACTGCTGCCCCATGGCTATAGGCTGATAGCTGGGAATCAAGCCACCACTGGAGCTGCTGACATCAGGAACATACTGTTTGGCTGTGTTCCAGTGATCTGAGCAGCTACTGCAAAGTGCCTCTCTACTCCAGGAAGCTAGTGCCTGAATATTGCTATCAACAACAAAAACAAGCTAACAAACACCGTCTTTGCAGACCTCCTCTTTCCTCTTTCCTTGATTACCCTCCAGCTTCCTCGCTGTCCAACTCGTCTCACTGGAAGAACCTAATCTGTGCCCAGAACGCTAGCCACAAGAGACTCTGGGAAATGATTACAGGCTTCTGGCCTCAGAGGTAAAGGCATATGCAGTTGAAGGATGTAGAAATTAACATTGAGTGACAAGCCATCATGTCTAACACATATCTAAACATAGTTTATGAACTATCTAAACATAGTTCATCAGATGCTTAGCTAGAATATTTAATTCAAAGCAGGTTGAGATAGACTTTGGAGGAAATGTTGTAAAAATAAAGGGTCTAGCTGCTAACCAATTACCCTTTCAAACAGATGGATATTATAGGTTCACAGCTGAAATTGCCAGAAAACGCATTGTGCAAATAAATAAAAGTTGCCAAGCACCCTTCTCTGCATGTCTGAATATAAAAATATTCCTTGGATTTGGATTAGTAATCAAAGTAAGATATTATGAAAATTATTTTTAAAATGGTTCTCCCAACGAGTATCTCAGGCACCTTACCTGTTTTATGGGCCACAGAACAAAGGAAGAAAACAGTCCTATCAGAAATGATAGCCCTTGGCTGGCTGGTTCATTCATTAAATGAATTATCTGTATACTTGCGTTTTTGCTGAATCTTTCTTTCCTCTATATCTTTTATAGTGCTCTTTGTAAAAATTATAAACATAGAGATTATGTGTTTATAGGAGATTAGAAAAGAATATAGTTGAATTTACTCCCATCACTTATTTCAGCCCCTGGTGCTTGTCTGATTCCTTTTTTATAAACCACCAAACTAGATATGATGAGATCTCTTCTGTTCTTAACTATAAATTATCAGTGTGTTTGCACTCAGAAACTGCAATAGTACCTCTAGGAATAGTCTTTTTTTTTCATCTTTTTGAGACAGGGTCTCACAATGCGGTTCAGACTGGCCTTGAGCTCCCTTTGTAGCCGAGGCTGGCCTCAACCTCTCAATGATCCTCCTGCCTCAGCCTCCCAAGTGCTGGGATTACAAGTGTGCGCCACCACCCTGGGCATAGTCTTGATTATTGAATAAAACCATCTTGTATTTGCCTCTGATACTTGGAGTTAGAAGATAAGAGAATAGCTTAAATAAATGGAGTAACTTAATGCGTTTATCAGTACACTACATGTATTTTCTTAAAATTCACTTTTATGTCCCCCAAAGTAAGAAAGACCATTCACACATTGTCTATGGTAGATGATGAAAGTGTTTAAGTGAAGAATTACAAATATTGTACATACTACAGTATCGCTATGTTCATTTGAAACCAACTGCACTGGTAACTTAAGCACTCCACTCCTAGCAACCAAAAGTGAGCATGTCAAAATAAAAGTGTTCTTGGTCTATAAATGTAGCTTGATGTTTACTATTTTAAATCCCCAACAAGCTATTGTCTCTAAACTTCACTTATAATATCATGGGGTAACTGTTTAAATCTAATGTAATTATTTTATTATGAGAGGTGGAAGAGAGAGAGAGAGAGAGAGAGAGAGAGAGAGAGAGATTGATTCATTATCTTTCTATGTTATAGAAACATATGAATGACCTTCCTGGCTTTAGCTTCTCTTCCTTACCTCAGTTTTTTCCCTTTTATTCATATTTGAGTAAACATTGGAAGCAAAACCCTGGATTTCTTTCCCTCTGGATTATAAGGGTGATGAATTTTTATGTTCTCCAGATACGTAGAGCTTAACTGAAAGTGGAGCTTTCTATGCAGCTTAGAAAGGAAAAAAATGTCTCTTAGCTCATACATGTACTAAATGGAATGAGGAAGTGAATAGGAGCATGTATGAGTTTTTACATACCTTTAAAAGCAAAATTTGAACACCCAGGAAGACTAGTATTTCTTTTTTTTTTTTTTGGTTTGATTTTTGTTTTTTTTTTTCTGGTACTGGGAAGCGAACTCACAACCTTGCGTTTGCCAGGCAGGTGCTGCGCCGCTGAGCTAAATCCCCAGCCCCCAAAGACTAGTATTTCAACATCATTGAATAATCGATTTGTTTATTCACTGATTCAAGAAGTTGATTCTAAGAACCTGTTTTGTTCCACGGCTAGTACTAGGTGCCAAAGATATATGGCTGTGCCCTGGAGAGGCTGATTGATGCTCTGTAGGGTTGATAGCATTAAAGGATTATGCTAGTTATGGTGCTCTTATCACACATATGGAGAGCAGTGGATTTCTCAAGAAGTGATGTATTGTCTCATGGTGCAGTGGAAGATGGAATTAATTAAAGCAAACATCTCTGTGATTTCAAAGAATATTTTCTGACAGTTTTACCAACAATAAAAAGGTACCTGAGAGGCAAAAATAGCTGCTGTGTAGGACAATGTCTTTCTGCTTCTTTTAACCCACAGAAATTAAAGTAAGCGAAATTGTTGACAGGAGACTTTAATGTTTAAAGAGATGATATGTTTGCAAGAAAAGAGGACTGCTTTTGGCACCATAATGAATGTTCACAAAGTAATCAGAAATCATTAAAAAAGTTTCCAGCCCTGTAACACTTCAGTGGACATCAAATTTATAATTAGAGAAATTCATTATTCATTATGTGCAGAGACTGTCAGAATAAGACATTCGCAGTGAGGGCAGTGCAGTGATTTATGCAATTAAGAAATAGATCTAAAGTGACCATGTGACTTGTTTCTTAAACCAAGATACTTTTAAGAGTGAGTGAAGGAAATAATTAACTAATAATTAACCTGGGAAAAGAAGCCCAAATGAAGACTGTCTCAGCAAAACTTGAGTGATGAGGATTTATGGTCACCCAAGACTAAGGTACTAGTTGTGTAGCATGATTGCTGTTATGGCTTGTATTTAAAAGCTTGTATGGCTTATATCCCAAAGCTGCATGTGCTCATAAGTGGGGTTTTTCAGAGCTGGCTGGATCTACAATGTGTGATACTGGGATTAAGAGTGTATGATATACTAAATTAGTCTACTGATTGAAATTAACATAGTTCTGGGTGTGGATAATGTAAACCCCACCCAGGGTGAGCACCAGTCAATAGACTTATAACCTGGGTAGGGTACAAAGGAGAGGGAAAACAGCCTTGCTTCTGCCACTTACTGCTTGTTGTATTTTGCTTGCCACACCATGGACTGTTTCTCCTCTGTGATACCCTTCTGCCATGCTGCCTTGCCTTGAAACCTTGACTATGGACTGAAACCTCTACAAACTGTGAGCTGAAACAAACCTTTCTGCTTTAACTTGTGGGTATCAGGTATTTTGTCTTAGCAACAGGAAAATTAAGAGAGATGGAAGATAAAGGGAAAGGAGGCTTACTGCTTGCTGCTTTCTGCTGCCCTGCCATGGAGACAGTGCCCTTTTTCTCCTCCGCAGTGCCCCTCTGCCATGCTGCCCTACCTTGGAGACAGCCAACTATGGACTGAAATCTCTACAAACTTGGAGCTAAAATAAAGCTTTCCTCCTTTAACTTTGGGTGTTCAGTATTTTTCTCAGCAGTGAGAACGTAACTAAGACATTTGAGTTATTCTCAATTTTGTTTTTTTCTCTTATGATAAAATATACAGAGCATTAACCTCAATATTGTTTTCTTAAAATGTGATAAAATATGCAGAATGTAAAAATATGTAATGTCAATCACTTTTAAGGTACACTTCAGTGGCATTATGTTCACAGTATTGCACAACCATCACCACCCTCCACCTTTATAATTTTTCATCTCCTTAAAGTGAAACTCCAGACTCATTAAATAATGACTGCCCATTCTTTCCCCTCAGTCCCTGGCAACTACTATTCTCCCTGCTGATTTTAGGAGCTTGACCACTCCAGGAACCTTAGATAAGTAAATTCATACAGTATATGTCTTACTGTGACTACCAGATCTCACTTAGAATAAGTGAGTTTTCAAGTTTCATCCATGTTGTAGTATGTATCATAATTTCACTCCTTCTTAAGGCTGAATAATATTCTGTTATATGTTCAAGTATGTACCATATTTTGATTACCCATTATATGTACTCGGTACTTGAGTTGCTTCCCTCTTTTGGCTACTGTGCCTAATGCTGCCATGAACTTGGGTGTACAAAATTCTCTTTAAATCACTGCTTTCAATATTGTTAAACATGTACAAACAATATTGAATTTTAAAGGAAGAAATAAAAAGTGAAGAAAAATATATTCTCTTTCTCTGCAGGATTTTTCGGGTCATGTTTCTCCAGTGCACTACTCATTTAGGTTGGAATCCAGCTTGCCTTGTAGAATTCATCAGTGTCTTGGTTACTTTTCTCTCGTTGCTGAGACAAAATACCTGAGGCCCAAAATTAAGGACAGAAAAGTTTATTTAGCTCACAGTTTGTAGAGGCTTTTGTCAACACTCTGCTGGCTCCAAGGCAGAGTGACACATGGCAGAGGGCAGCAGTTCATGGGGGCAGAAAACAGCAAAAGCAACAAGAGCAAAAAAGGAGGAATGGCAGCAAGCAGCCTCTTTCCCTCCCTTACACTGTATGCAAACTACCTGCCCCAGGGGTAGGTGTAGCATTCACATCCATAATCCCAACATTGGGACATGAATCAACCATAAACTCTAGAAGCCTGCCCCATGACTGCATGAGGCTTTGAGGGACATCCAGATGCAAACCATAACAATCAGGAAAAGTAGTTGTTGCAAATAATCTAAAGAAATCACCTGCTGCAAAAAAAAAGCCCTAAATGTCTCACATTTCATTCCCACTGTCACAGCAGCCATGATGCATTGACTGCTGATGCTGCAAGGGCTGGAATCCAAATATGAGATTCTGAGTCAAGAAAGTGGCCTTCAGAAGCACAAAGAACCAGGAGAGCAGCGTGAGTCTGAACAACAGAATGCTCCAGGTGAGCAAGAACATCTTTGCCACATACGGGACCATGAATTTCTGGGAGGCATGGAATAGAAGCAACCCCTAACAACTGAGTTAGAAGCTTAGATGAAAGAAAACAGGCTCCAACTGAAGACAGACCTTCCAGGTAAAGAGAAAAATACTCTACTGCTGGGTGTGGAAGTAGGATCAGAATGCTGATGTCATGAATATTGATGCCTTTGATCTCAGTTTAACTAGTTTCTTTGTGGAAGTGGAGGCATTAAAATATAAATCTTCTTCGAAATTCTGAGAAACTGCATTCCCACTGAAGAGTTACACTTCTGGAAAGTAATGTTGACATATCTGAAATAAATTGGGAATTGCCACATTTATATGCCTTGCTCCCCTTCCTTTACCCCTCTGTGGCAGTGTCGGTACTCTGTGGGATCAACAGAAGAAATTCATTGATCTATAAAAGCAGCCTTAAAGGAAACTGATACACTTTTTGCCCTGAGTAATAACTGAACTTGAGAAAATATATTTTCAGAAGTTATCTGACAATCAGAAATTATAGCCAGATATTAAGAAGCTTTCAGAAAAAGTGAACCTGAAGTGAGTGTTTTACAGCTGCCTACAATGAAGTGTTCTTAGGTCTACTCGCATTAAACCTACCTGTGTCAGTAAAGACTGAAAAGTTAATAGACAAGTCCACACAAAAACCTGTTTATGAATGTTTGCAGAAGCTTTATGCACAATTACTGACACTTCAAAGCAACAAAATCTCCTTCAGTAGGTGAATGGATGAACCAATTCTGGTGTATCCTTATAGTAAAATATTATTCAGTGATAAAAAGAAATGATTTATTGAACCACAAAAAGACATGGCAGAAATTTAAACGCATTGTGCCAAGTGAAGAGACCTGAAAAGGATAAATCTTGCATAGCTTTACTATATGACATCTTGGAAAGAAAAACATATGAGATGGTAAAAGGACAAGTGGTTGTCAACGGGTTGGGTGCAAGGGGTGAGAAGAATAGGTGGAGCAGAGGGAATTTGTAGGGCAGGAAGACTATTCCATATGAATCCGTAACAATGGGTACATGACATTACGCATTTGGCAAAACTCAGAGCTGCATGCTACACAAATCCTAATATAGACTGCAACATTAGATAATAATAATGAATCAATATTGGTTCACTGGCTGTAACCAAAGTACTACCAATACAGAATTTTAATTTGACAGTTCATGAAATATTTTTTTTCAATTAAGAAATCCCAGTGGTACTAGAATAGAAAATGAAGAAAGTGTTAGTGTCAGGGGTCTGAGCAGTAGCATGTCCTGTAGTAAGGAACGTAGCTCCAAGTCATGGGCATCAATGGTTCTGTTACTCTGTCTCTGTCAGTGCAGAAATTTCAGTCAAGCTTTTAGTAGGTGAGGAGGATGCAGTGTCAGACTGCTCAGCAAACCATTTCCTTGCCATCTAGTTTTGTGTTGGTTAAATGTTTGGATCAGAGCCTACAGAACCCATGGACAGACAGACCTGAAACCAGAAAAATATGCCAGCCCTGAAGCTGCAAGACCATCTATCATCATGTCCCTCCTACCTTCTATTGTTAATTTTGTCTACTGCAGACAAGGGTTGGATTGTTCATACCACGTTCCTCTACATGAAGCTTTGCATCAAGTTGCCAGAAATGCCTATCTAGCCCTTCTTGATTTGCTAGGAAAGATTAATGTGGTCACTACATAAACATGGGAAGGGGCGAGATCATATGCCATTTCCTTAAAAAGGCTATCTAGACACTCCCATAAAAATACAGTGTAAGTAGAAACCTGTGAACAGAATGTGGAGTGACATATTTTTAAAGATTTTTTTCAGCCAAAGTAATGTATGATCTCTTCTTGTCTGATAGTTTGTCTATCCTACTTGTTAAAATCTGAGCTTTTTAAAATATATTGGCAGTATGTGCACAGAGGAGGTTTTTATTCTCATTAAGATTATCCAGACATGAAATGGCTGGTTTTATGTGTAGCATACTATATTAGAATAAAAGTGAATCTTTGAAATGCAGAAGTTCCTAGAGATACCACTGTTGGTACAGCTAACAGCAGATCAGCTTTACACTGTCGTTGTTTTTTGTGTTGAGAGTAACACAGCTTCCAACTCAGTTGTCAAGGTAATAAACTTTTAGCCACATAGTTTTGGGTTTTGAGTTATTCCCACTGCTGTGTATATTATGATTCATCCATTAAAACAGGAAATTGAATAATCAAATAATTTTTAAAAGTGGCAGAGAAGCTATGATTTATTTTTACATGAGGATTTTTATTACAAGTAAATAATAATTGATAAAATCTTCATGTAGCTTATTGAATACTTCATGCAGCATATACTTTATCTAAAACTGTGGTTGAGTAGCTCCTTTTTCTGTCTCTTGAAGCTAGATTTGGGGATGACATGGTATGTCTGTGGGCCTATAGGAGCAGTACACATGGATTCCAGTCCCTGATCTTTAAGAAAAAAATTACATAGCTTACTGCTTGGTTGATTCTCAGGTATTTCTAGATGACGTCAGCTTTGGTTTTATATCCATTTGTCTGTTTTTGATTTTGGTTTTTCCTTGCATTGTCTACGGCCTTTCTCACTTGTTAACAATTTAGTCAGTCATGAGAACTCTGATGATCAGTGTAGAGTGTTGGGCTTTCCAAGGAAAAGACTCAAATTATTGCTGTCATATTATGTTATTTTAATGCCAACTTTCAGAAACATCACATTTCATAATTTTAAAAAATTCACATTTCAGCATTATCAGAATTGGAATGCACATACAGTTGATGGCATATCCTCAGTTTTCTTGGCAATAAGTAAAATGACTTTGTGTATGACAAAGCAGATGGTTTCCTAGATTTCATGAAATGTTGTGTATCAATTCAAGAAATATTTCCATCCTGTCTAAGGCAGTTTAGGTTGAATGTTTTGCATTATTTATTTTTTAATTTTTAATTTATAACTAGACCTCAGTATTCCTGTTTAACTTGTATTTTATTTTAATATAGATAGTTGGAACCCTTTGGGGTTTAAAAATGGTATTTGTGGTTTTAAATTGAAATAATAGGCTATGTATACTTGTACACACACTTAGGTCTAAAGTTACAAACATAGTCCTAAGATGAAGTGTAAAAACTGAAAAAATTAAACTTTCCAAAACAGACTGGTTATTCTGGGCACAGATTTAATAATTCCTGCTGCTAGGAGAAGTACAATTTTCTGCCACTGAAAAGCTTAAAATGTCAAGCACATTCTTGTAAAATACAATGGAAGCTGCCAGCAAATGAGACCATTCTTTCAACTGGTAGATTTTTTGTTTCTTTGCAGCTTACATAACGGTGGTGCTTACTCAGATTTGAAAGCTTCTCAGGATGGTGTAAACATTCAAACCATACCACTGCATCTGTTTTCAGTTATTCAGTAGGTGTGGGTTAGTGCAGATGATGGGCTAGTCTACAAGATCCCAGCTATTGAGGGAGTCAGGATAAATGAGAGAGAACTAACAGAAAAGAACACAGCGCTGAAATGGTGCCGAGGAGCTCTGGCTAGAAAGCAGAATTCTGGGTAGTTGTTATCTTTCTTTAAAAACTGAGGCAAGCTTAATGCAGCAGATTAGAAAATACAGATGCTTGCTGGAGACAGGCACACAGAATGAAAAGGGACAGCTGATAGAAAGGTAAAGCAGAAGAAGGATTAATATGAAGTATAGTTGTTCTTCTGTATATGTGGGTTCTGCATCCATGAATTTAACCAACCAGGGGCCAAAAACAATTGAGAAAAAGTACATGTGTGCTGAACATGTACATACTTTTTCCTTGTTGTTATTCCCTAAGCAACATAGTATAACAATTATTTGTATGCATTTTATATTGCCTAGGTATTATGAGTTATCTCAATTACATGAAATGTGTTTTAATTTACACAGAAGTCATACAGGAGGATGTGCATATATTAAATACAAATATGCCATTTCATATAAGGGACATGAGCATTCACATATTTTAGTATCCATGAGGACTGGAGAGGTTCCTGGAACTAATCCCCAATAGATACTAAGGGACAACTGTGAACAAGATAAGTAAAGGCCATAAGCCATTTATTGTAGACGCAGAGTCTTTATTAGCCCTGGAATGCATTGTTGCTCTTTGTTGTAGTTAGCCCCTATGTTACTAATAAAAAGTGTAAAATTTCACTCAGAGTAAAATCATGTATTATATTTTACAAAGGTTTTCATGAAAGTGATTAAAATCCATAATACTTTGGTATAGAAGAGGATCAATCTCAGCTATTTCTGTTGTTAAACATTGCAGTGGAGCTTTTAGTTAATTGACCTAAATTTCAAGTTCTATATCTATTCATTTAGCATAGGACTTCTCAAATTAATACAGCATATTGTGCACACTCATACCATCAATGTATAAGAGTAGAATTAAGATGGTACGTGTGATGGTTAAGTTTAACTGTGTCAACTTGATTTGCCTTGGGTTCCAAGTGGATTGGTGGAGTATACTTCTGGGTGTGTCTTGTGGGTTAGAGAGATGCAACCTTGTGATCTGTATCTGGTTCCTCACCTCTTCCTTTGCTTCCCAGCCACCATGAACTAAGCAGCTCTGCTCTGTCACACCTTCTGTCATAATGTTCCTGCTCTGCAACCATCCAATCATGGACTGAATCCCCTGAAACCATAAGCCAAATTAAACCTCTCCTCCTTTAAATTGTGGATGACAGGTATTGTGTTCCAGCAGTGGGAAAACTGACTAATGTAGAAAATTAGTACTAAAGAAGTGAAGTTGTTGCTGTTAGTATGCCTGACCATAAAGCGTTTGGAGCTTGTTTATCAGAGGAGTTTGGAAAGATTTGGAGGTGTGAGTTAGAAAAGCCCTAACATGCTGTAAGCAGAGACTATTAGGGGATTCTAGCTAGAGCTCAGACGACTATACTGCTAGTAGAAACGTAGACAGCAAAGGCCAGAATCAGGAGATTTCTGTTGGGAATAAGGTCTTTATTGGCAGTTTGGCTAGAGCCTATGTGTGTTACATTGTAGCAAAAAAAATTATCTACATTTTCCTCATGCCATGAGACTGTAAGAAACTGAATTTAAGGGTGATAAAATA